TTTTTTGAGATAGAGCTCCCTCTTGTTGCTCAGGCTGGAGTGCAGTGGCGCAATCTCAGCTCACCACAACCTCTGCCTCTGGGCTCAAGAGATACTCCTGCCTCAGCCTCCCAGGTAGCTGGAATTACAGGCATGTACCACCATGCCCGACTAATTTTGTATTTTTGGTAGAGACAGGGTTTCTCCATGTTGGTCAGGCTGGTCTCGAACTCCTGACCTCAGGTAATCAGCCTGCCTCAGCCTCCCAAAGTGCTGGGATTATAAGCGTGAGCCACCACACCTGACCTTTGTTTTATGCTTTTTAATTTTCACTTATGTTTTACAGTAAATGATAAATTCATGCAGAAAAACTTGAAATAGTACAGAAAAGGAAAAGAAAGCTCTCCCATCCCCAATACCCAGTTTCTTCTGCAGAGGTACTCAATGTTGCCAGTCTCAGGTGGAGAAATCTCTTTGGAGATTTGCTGCACAGGCATAATATGCCCCACCTTTTCTCGCCACAAATAATAGCATGCTCATCATACAGCTCTGTCCTTTGGGTTTTTCCCCTCCTGGACAATCTCTAAGAAACATTGGAATCATCATATAGAATTTCTCTAAATGATGGATCACATCTCCCACTGATGGACATTAAGAGCATTCTTAATCTTTTGAAACTATAAACAATACTGTTGTGAATATCCTTGTACAAACTGCTCTGTTGGAATGTGCTTTACTTTGAAAAGAAAACTATCATCTAAGTTCCATTCTTTTCCAGACTCTACAGTTAATAATGAGAGATGTTTAGTCTGAATGATCAAATCTGAATTAAGTGGAAAAAAAACCAATGTCTCCACCATTACTTCCTGTGAATCTCTCTCGTAGGGGCTAGTGTTTTGAAGACTCATATAGGTGTAGCTTGGGAAGAGCTCTTCTGCAAGTCTGAAACTCCCCCAGATTAGGATTCAGATATTAATAAAATCTGCTGAGCAGTACCTGGTTGCTCTGTGGCTTTGAGTAACACAGTACATTCTGCTTGTGAGTAAGCCGAATGGAGCATTTCGGATACCTACAAGAGCAGTCTATCTACCTAAGTGACTGATAATAGTCCTACTAGAATTTTTCATGTCAGTAAATTACCAGGCCTGAGTTAGTTTTTAAATTTTTCAAAGTGTCTAAGTTATAAAAATTAACATAAGGCCGGGTATGGTGGCTCATGCCTGTAATCTCAGCACTTTGGGAGGCTGAGGCAGGTGGATCACTTGAGGCTAGGAGTTGGAGAACAGACTGGCCAACATGGCAAAAACTGTCTCTACTAAAAATAAAAAAATTAGCGGGGCAGGGTGGTGGATGACTGTAATCCCAGCTACTCGGGAGACTGAGACAGGAGAATTGCTTGAACCCGGGAGGCAGAGGTTGCAGTGAGCCGAGATTGCACCACGGCACTCCAGTCTGGGCGATAGAGCAACACTCTGTCTCAAAACAACAACATAGGATTAACAATCTGCACCTTTGAAGCCTTTCTTTTTTCCTAACCTGGGGATTTCTGATATCGAAACTATTGGGCATCTTTTTTGTTTATAGTAGTTATATCAGACACTACCATATTAAGTATAGCTACTAATAAGAACATACTTTTATAGAATGTTCAGAAATGGCTGTTTCTTGAAATAATTATCATTCTTCCGTCTGTGCCTCTCTTTCCTGGCTTGAAATAGGTATCATGAATTAAACCCTTCTGGGTGTCTGGATTTTGTCTTCCTTGAATCTGCATTTAAGATAACTTTTTCCCTATGACACCACCTGTGCACAATCCTTTACCTCCCACCCCAGGCCTTCAAGTAGAGGTTGTAATTATACTGTAACAAGCTCTAGAAGTGAAATACTCATTTCAGGTTTTTTGGCATCAGTCAAGACTACTTTTTCTCCTGTTCTTAATCTAAGAGCATAAGCAATGCCAGCTGGTTTTACTCATTCACCAGATCGTTTCCTGAGCTTTCCCTGAGTACCTGGGATTGTGCCAGGAGGTGAGAGTCCTTGGTGATGGGCTTAATTCTAAGACGGAAACCTAGGCTGTCTAGGCAATATACTCTGATATCTTCCCTTTTACTAGCATGTTATTGGGCTCAGAGTTGTAAATCCATCCAGGCTGTCCTCGAGCCCTTCCTCTTAGCAACCCAAGCAACATTTGGGTCTCTATTTTGATGACCTGCTATGTGTGTACTTTCTTGCAAACAATGAAGGCAGACTGTCTTTACAGGGTTGCTCTCAGGCTTCAGCAGTTGTTCCTTTTCTTCAGTCTAAGATGCGACAGAAGGTGGCCAAGGACAGTTACATGGGGTACAAGAGGATCTCGATTTTGGTCTTGATTGTACTTGCCACTAACCAGGGCACATCCCTTAACCTTTCTGGGTTAGAGTCCCTGTTCCATAAAATGAGAGGATGGACTAGTTTCTCAGGTTCCTCATGTAGCCTAACAGTTTCACATTCCATAAGCCACACATAAAAATCCATCTCGTTTCTTCATAACTCCTTTCTACCAGCCCATTAGTTCTTATGAAGGCAGGAGCTATTTTTCCAAGTTTAAGTCCAGTGTGTGACACACAGCAGGAATTGCAATAATAATTTGAGTGAGCATATGAATAAAAAAAGAACATTTTTATCCCACCTTCACCTCCATCCTGGAGAAGTCTCTGCCATGGAATTCTTCCTCAAAGAAATCTGTTCTTCTCTAGAAAACCTTCAGTGTTGGTATTGTCTTTCAAATATATATATATGTCTTTCAAATATACACATATATTATGCATTTAATACATACATTAATATATAGAGGTTTGGACTACTTAAATTCATTTAAGAAAATTTACTTATAAATCATATTTCTATATAATATCCATAACAAACTGAAGATTAAAAATATTTAACTTAAGCCACTGAGCACAGTGACTTCCACCTGCAATCCCAGCACTTTGGGAGGTCAAGGTGGGAGGATTGCTTGGGCCCAGGAGTTACAGACCAGCCTAGGCATCAACATAGTGACACCTTGTCTCTATTAAAAATATATACATATACACACACATATATATATGCATGTGAAATATTATAAAATATACATATATTACAAAATATTTTAAAGCTAATGATACCAAATATAGCAAAAATTGAGAGTTTTTTCTCAAAAATGAAGTGAGTATATAAAATTATACTTTGTTGTCTTTGGCCCTGACCTAGGAAGTAGTAGACTGAAAAGCATGGTTTTCCTGATTACATGACATTGCCCAGAAAAGTTAAGCAAATTTGACTGGTAAACAATTTTGAGAAAAACTAGCACTTTTTAAAATGCATTTTTGTTGAAATACCAATTATAGAATTTAAGGATTTTAAAATTATTTTTGTAAAGTGGAGTTCCATATACTGAAATTTCATTGGTTGTTAAATGCAGATAGATATTTTCTAAAAAATTTAAAACACTTCTCATGCCTTTATCCAGTCACAATATGTTTAGCATTTCTGCGTAATTTCTTTCTCACTAATTTCTCCCTTTGAATGCACATTTTTTTCTCAATCAGATGTATGAAGTCCTCCTTATATGTCAGCTCCTGAGAGGTGCTTTCTGTTACATGTTGCTTATCAATTCATGGTTCATGTGCCAAAGATCGAATGCCCTCCTTAACTCTGCCATAAATACACAAATTAACTGAGAAAGTACACACACACACACACACACTACACACACACACACACACACACACAGAGAGAGAGAGAGAGAGAGAGAGAGAGAGAGAGAAATGTTCTGGTGAAATTAGCTCATAAGTTGTGATAACTTTTGTGGAATTTGCCTTAGACCACTATGTTCTATGTAAGACTTAAAAGTACTCTAGACAGGGAAGGTGTCAAATGAGATTTTAACAGAAACAAAAGCCGAGACTAGATGAGTCAGGATTGGGGCCAGTATTTAAGCCTCCATGAATTGAATTAAGGTAATAATTACTTAAACAGTAATGGTTAACAGGAAAGTACTTTGGACGGAATCTCGGGAATCTATACTCATACAAAGCACAAAACATTCTGATGGTCTATTTTTGATAAGGTATTGTGGGCCCTGGTCATTAATCTCCTGTATGTTCTTCCCTCCTGCAGTGATGAATCACCAACACCAGCAGCAGATGGCCCCCAGTACCCTGAGCCAGCAGAACCACCCCACTCAGAACCCACCCGCAGGGCTCATGAGTATGCCCAATGCGCTGACTACTCAGCAGCAGCAGCAGCAGAAACTGCGGCTTCAGAGAATCCAGATGGAGAGAGAAAGGATTCGAATGCGCCAAGAGGAGCTCATGAGGCAGGTATGGCCTTCCGTGGTGTCTGGTGGAGGCTCCCTGGCCCTTGGTGCCAAAGCTGATGGGTAGAAAGCTGCTTACCTTCAGGGTAATGCTTCTAGAGAAGAAGAGAGAATGGGGCTCAAAGCCCTACTGGAAGCCTCCTGATTATAATGTAGTTTCTTGAAACTCTCAGTGTTCTGCCTGCATTTTCAGAACCAAATTTAAGAGTACAAGGATGAGCTATAGTAGCATGGCTGCCTTTGGTTTCCACTGCTAGTCTTTAGAAGGAAAGAAAGGAGAAAATAGAGAGACAAGAGCATGTTCCAATGATCTGTTGTTGTGTAACAAATTATCCCAAAATGTAGTTGCTTAAATAGCCATTTCATTATATCACACAATTTTGTGGGTCAGAATTTAGAAAGGGCTCACCTGGGCTATTCTTCTGCTCTACATGGCATTGACTGAGGTCATTTAGTGGTATTCAGCTGGTAGGTGGGTTCTTCTGGATAGTCCACAATGGCATTACCTAAGTGGGTGGCACAATGGTGAGGATTGCTGGAAGACTGGGCTTAGCTGGAACAAAAGTCTGGGATCTATGATGTGGCAATCTCAGAGTAGTGGTGCTTATTACATAGCAGCTTGGATTTTCAAGAAAAAGCATTCTAAGAGACAGGAAGAGAGAGTTGCCAGTTTCTGGGCACCTAGCTCTGGAAATGATCATGGAGTAGCTTTTGCCATGCTCTCTTGGTCAAGGTAGTCACAGAGAACCCCCCTCCCCCACATTTAAGCAGTTAGTGGAGTGGACATTTCCTCAGAAGAAATGACAAAGAATCTTGGTCCACCACAGAGCATGAAAAAAAGGGAAGCTGAAGGGAGAAGGAGAAGGGAAAATGGTGTTTTGTTTGTTTGTTTTTTGAGATGGAGTCTCGCTCTGTCGCCCAGTCTGGAGTGCAGTGACACGATCTTGGCTCACTACAACTTCCACCTCCTGGATTCAATCAATTCTCCTGCCTCAGCCTCCCGAGTAGCTGGGATTACAGGGATTACAGGCACCTGCCACCACACCAGGCTAATTCTTTCTTTTCTTTTTTTTGTATTTTTAGTAGAGACAGGGTTTAACCATGTTGGCCAGACTAGTTTCAAATGCCTGACCTTGTGATCTGCCTGCCTCAACCTCCCAAAGTGTTGGGATTACAGGTGTGAGCCACTGCACCTGGCTGGGAAATGGTTTGTATATGGACTCGATAGAGTGCTCTGCAAAAACTGCCTGGGCATCAATCAGGCACTTTTGGTCCATGTTCCATTCATTCACTTTTCATTCTGCCAGTCAGCAGTATGTTGCCGTGTGCCCTCTGTGGGTCAGGCTCAGTGCTGTATTTCAAAAACAAATAAAAGGAGAATCCCTAAAAGAATCCACAACTTTCTCCCTGTTTCAGTGGCTTGGTCCTGGAAGAGCAGAATTCTTTCTTCTGTGTTGCTAAATTCATATAACCCATGTTTGCAGATCTCATACTTTTTCTCTGGCTACATTTTGGGGAGAAAAGCTTCAGTATATTGTTCTAACTTTTCAAACTTTGTTTTGTGACTCACATGAAGCAAGATAAATTAATAACTTCCTTTTGCTACTTTAGAGAAATTAGAGAAATAAGTAGTTTTAACATTCCAGAAAACTTTCTTGGAGGAAAGGACTGGGAACATCAGGGTAAACACTATTTTTTTAAAGCTACATTTGATACTTTCAAAAATACACATTGACTTCCATAAATAAATAATATATTTCTCATCAAATAAATTCTAGGATATAAAAAATCTATATTGTATGAGGTTTAAAATGCATAGTAGGCTGGGAGTGGTGGCTCATGCCTGTAATTTCAGCACTTTGGGAGGTGGAGGCAGGCAGATCATAGGATCAGGAGACCAAGACCATCCTGGCTAACATGATGAAACTCTGTCTCTACTAAAAATACAAAAAAATTAGCCAGGCGTGGTGGCACATGCCTGTAATCCCAGCTACTCAGGAGACTGAGGCAGGAAAATAACTTGAACCCATGGGGCGGAGGTTGTAGTGAGCCGAGATCGCGCCACTGGACTCCAGCCTGGGCGACAGTGAGACTCCGTCTCAAAAAAATGCATGGTAAATTAAAATCATTTCTCAGATATAGTATTTAAAAATAAGGGAAATGAATATAAATTGTGCTCTGTTGCTCAGCTGAACTTTCCTCCAAATTTGCGGAATACAACTTAATAATTAGGTAATTATGGTTGTGTCCTTTACCCTGAGGATTTATGTTTGAACTTTCATGGTTGTTTCAGGCTAACAGTTGTTTATACTGATTTTAGATATCTAGTATCATGTTTCTTGACGGAAAATAATTGTATTATTAATGGTTTTATGTCTTTGAATAATAATTTTATTTGGAATAATGTTTCTATTTTATAATGTAGGGTTAATCAAACAGTATTTCAACAGCATTTTATACATTCTCAGTTTTGTATTTAAATGAGTTTTAGAGCTTTAGTGAGTTTCTTCTTTTCTACATAAAGATGTGACCATCCTGCAAAGATAACTTGCTTCTCTGTTTTTGCAGGTGTGCTTCTCTTTCTCTTGCTACTCCTCCTTCTTTCCCACATAAAGTATTTCTGAAAAGGAGTGGGAAAAGTGCTCCAAATTGTTTCCTTTATTCCAGCTGTAGGTGCCTTTGAACCAGGATGTAGTACTGATGGTTCATATTACAGAAATGCCACCAAGTTCCTTAAATGCTGATCCTTGGAGGCTGCGGAATGTGGGGCATTTTGCTGCATCATAGTGAGCAATTGCAGTGTATATGACAGCAGGAGAAAAGACTGTCCAGATTTGCTCACAGAGGCTCACATAGTTCAGCCTTGACTCTGCGTGCGCATTTGTGTATGTGTGTGTGTGTGTGTGTGTGTGTGTGTGGTGTGTATGTGGGGTGTGTGTGTGGTGTGTGTAGTTAGGAGGAGATGGGATGGTGGAATGGATGGTTCTTGTGTTCTAATGTCTTTTTATTTTTGTTAGGGAGTATAGAAAAAGGTCTAACTAGACTTTTTAATCGTGGCAGCTTTTTTTCCCATTCAGAAGCAGCATGCTCCTGAGTGTCAAAGATATGATTTAAGACCAGATAATAAATAGCATTGGAGTGTTCTTTTTTTTTTTTTAATTTTTAAAGTTTTTAGAGATGGGGTTTCATTATCTTGGCCAGGCTGGTCCTGAACTCCTGACCTCGTGACCTACCTGCCTCAGCCTCCCAAAGTGCTGGGATTAGAGGCGTGAGCCATCGCGCCCAACCTTGGAGTGTTCTATAATCATTTTCTGGGGCATTTGCCAGGATGCCTGGTTATTCAGTATTCAGGTGTGGACCGGGTGTATCATCTTTGTGGGTTTTTTGAACTCTTTTGGTGATTCTCTGCTTCACTTTTTGAACCTAAGCTACAGCAGCAGCAGGGAAACCAACTGGAATTAAAAGTGATCTTTGGCTCACTTGCTTAGTTTCCTTCTAGCATCTGGTAGGAATTTGGAGAGATGGGGGAAATGGGGGTCCTGGTGAGATTTAAAGATTATCTGTAGACTTCTGTTTGTTCTCTCTGTCCTACCCCTATGTCCTGGGTAGTCAACAACTGCCTGAATATCCCTTGCTCAGGGGACAGTTTGTAATTACACTGGCTCTCCTGTTGCTTGCAGGCGGCCTTAATTGTACAGCTTGTCTTCTCAGGGCCCATGCCCTGCAGGCAGGCCTAGACCTACCTGCCCTTCTACCAAATGAGACTCTCTGAGAGCAAGGCCCCAGGCTATGCTCTCTCTCCATAGTAGAAAGGGATAGGCCAGGTACAATGGCTCATACCTGTAATCCCAGCACTTTGGGAGCCCAGGTGAGCGGATCACCTGAGTTTGGGAGTTTGAGACCAGCCTGACGAACAAGGAGAAACCCCATCTCTACTAAAAATACAAAAATTAGGCTGGGCGCGGTGGCTCACGCCTATAATTCCAGCACTTTGAGAGGCCGAGACGGGCGGATCAGGAGTTCCAGACCAGCCTGGCCAAATGGTGAGACCCTGTCTCTACTAAAAATACAAAAATTAGCCAGGTGTGGTGGTGGGTGCCTGTAATCTCAGCTACTCGGGAGGCTGAGGCAGGAGAATAGCTTGAACCCTGAAGGCAGAGGTTGCAGGGAGCTGAAAAGGTGCCACTGCACTCCAGCCCAGGCAACAGAGTAAGACTCCAACTAAAAAAAAAAAAAAAAAAAAAAAAAAAGAAAAAGAGAGAAACACAAAAAAAAAAAAAAAAAAAAAGAAAGAAAGAAAGGGAGGTTGGCAAAATTTAATACCAACCTGGTAGATGTATCTGTCCCCTAATTATTGAGAAATGATCACTGCTGTCTGTAGTTTTATCATTCTTGAATGATATGATGAATCTGAAAGGTCCCTGTGGAGAATGTGCTATATAAGTGTTACTTCATTTTTCTTCCTCTTCCTTCTGCTATGTCACTGTCCCACTAGGCATAGAGTTTGATTATGTTGTGTCATGAAAAAAACAACTCCTTGGTCCTTGTTGCATGATTTGATATATACCACAATGCCAAAGGATCACCTGTTAACTCATTGGCATTGAAATCATGCTAGGATATTAACAAAATGGTTCTAAGGAAACTTTGATTACAAATCTCAAACAAACCTTCATTATTTCAGGATGGAAGCTCATATTTTTTTTCTTTCTTCATTCCTTTATTTCTTCATTCATTCATTCAGTCAATATTTATTTAGTAGAAAATAATAGACAGGTAAATGGGATGTGGCTGCCTTCAGATAAACTAGTATTTTAGTAGAAAAAAAAATTAACTCTAATCCAAATTGGTGGCCAGATGGGTAAATTAAAACCATTACCTGCTTCACAGGGGCCTAGTGGCTACCATCTTTGACTTTCATTCCTGGAACTGAGGCCAGATGCACCTGAGCAGAGTTCTGTGAAAGTGAGCATCAGATACTCCTTTGGCTTTCCAGTGACCCCC